GATTTTTATTACACGATGTTATTCCTTCACCCGTGGAAGTCAACGTGACATTTGTTGAAGTACGTATTTCATTAGAAAAATTTTGTACCCGCCTGCGGGATTCGAACAGCGGTGCATCGCTACATACGAATGCACCGGACGTCTTATCCTTTAGGCCACGACGACTTCAATTCTATTATTGTTGTTGAACACTTCGGCAATCTTGAAGACTGCGGGCAGTAAATATCGATATTCGCTGTGCTAACTATCGTTCGTGAAACCATCTAAAAAAAAAAAAAAAAAAAAAAATGGGTGCATTTGTATCAAGCGATGTAACGGTGTTCGAATCCCGCCGGCAAATGTCATCAATATTGCAAAAGATATATGTAACAAAAAAAAATCACAAATGTCTTCTGCGATGATAAATCAACAGCGTGTAATAAAAAAATACAATATAAACATAATTACATTTGCGTAATTACTACAAACAAAATTAAATATAAGATCGAAAAGTCGTGGAAAATGAACGTCCTAACGAGTAATTGGGTATCACGTATGATAAAAATACTAATTACATTAATTTCTTTCGTTAAATTTACAGTTTTGAGGATAAAGAAACCCCTGAAATACGAAATCGAATATCAAGAAAAAATCGATAGAATACTAACAGGATCAAAGGTATGTATGTTTATAAGACACATTACTGTGATGACTCAATATTATTAGGGGTCATATTTACTGGTCGTCTTGTGAGTCTGCGCGGAAGGGTACCACCACCCTGCCTATTTCTGCCGTGAGCCAGTAATGCGTTTCGGTTTAAAGGGTGGGGCAGCCGTTGTAACTATACTTGAGACCTTAGAACTTATATCTCAAGATGGGAGGCGCATTTACGTTGTGTATGGTCCAGTAACCACTTAAGACCAGGTGGGCTGTGAGGTCGTCCACCAATATAAGCAATAAAAAAAAACTCAAAGTGGGGCATTTACATTGTAGATTTCTATGGGCTCCAGTAACAACTTAACACCCGCTGGGCTGTGAGCTCGTCTATCGTATTATGACTATGTTGCTAGACGTAACCAGATTCTCAATTTTCACAATTTCAGGACTGGAAATATTTTGATCCAGAAACATATTCTGATGAAGCTGGTCAAAACAGTACGGGAATAATAGGAGGCTGTCACTGGATTACAGAGGTAATCATAATATATATTTAATTTGAATGCAGTTATATAGTGACGTACGTGTGTATTCCAAAACTACCGACAATTATCTACAATATAATATAGGTAATCTCTCTCTCTCTCTCTTCCCAGCTATTTATCCCACATGGTGGTGGGGTCAGCATTCTTGACTTTATTCCTCCACTTCGCTCTGTCTTCGACATCCTCGTCAGCAACATTGCATTCTCTCTTGTCCTTCAGCACTACGTCCCTCCACCTTGTCTTGGGTCTACCTCTAGGTCTCCGACCGGGGAGGTCGAGCAGTAGCGCCAAATTTCCGACGTAGTCAGGTAGCTTCCTTTTCACGTGACCATACCATCTCAGCCTACTCTCCTGCATCTTGTCGGCGATGTCCCGTACACCTAGACTTCCACGCACGTACTCGTTGCGGATTTTATCGAGCCTAGTCACGCCGCACATCCACCTCAGCATTTTCATTTCAGCAACTGGAATGGTATGCACGATCCTTTTGGTTGCTGCCCATGTTTCGCTGCCATACATAAGAACAGGCCTTATTATGGTCTTATAGATCATACCCTTGAGCTTAACGGGCATCCTCCTATCGCAGGTGACACCACTTACTTCTCGCCATTTTAGCCACGCTGCGGCTATTCGGTGGTGAATGTTGCATTTTAAATTTCCAGATCTGTGCATCATAGTACCCAGATACTTGTATTGATCGCACATGTTTACAAGTTGACCGTCAATGGAAATCGGACTGTTGTCACCTGGATCTGGGTCATTAAAAGACATGTAAAGTGTCTTCGCAACACTCAATATTAGGCCACCGGCCTGTAACTGCTGTTTCCACAATAGGAGTGCCTCTCGTAGCTCTGTGCGGCTCTCGGTGCAGATAGCAACGTCGTCTGCATAGATGAAAGTCCACGAGGCTGAGGACTGCGCCACCTCAGTGAGTGAGTCTATAACCATGCCGAACAGAAAGAGACTCAGTACTGAACCTTGATGTAGACCTTCTGCAACTGCTATTGGTTTTGTCTAACCCACTACTGTCCGTACCATTGACTTCGCATCCCTGTACATGTCAATTATGACGTTAACATAATCTTCATTCTTCTTGCGAAGACTCCACTAGATCGTATCTCTTGGCACACGGTCAAATGCCTTTTCCATGTCTAAGAATGCGACATACAATGGCCGAAGTTTCGCACGGTACTCCTCAGCGATCGTATTTAGCGCAAACATAGGGTCGGTGGTAGATAAGCCCTGTACAAAACCATAGTGATTTTTGGGTAGTGAACACTCTGATCTTAGGCGGCTGTCAATCACTCTTTCATACAGTTTCATAGTATGGCTTAACAGCTTGATCCAGCGATAGTTGTTACATTCGTACTTACTGCCCTTCCCCTTATAAATAGGAACTATGGTGCTCAATCTCCACGCCACTGGCATTTTGATTTATCTATTCCGTGGGCGACTCAATTGGTATCCTATCGCTGATCTTCAGGCGGCGTCTGCGAAGCGACGTGCACACCAGTATCAGACAATACATTCCAATATATCATTATTATTCTCTTCATGAAATTATGCAGTAGAAGTTGTCTTTTAAAACTAAAAATGAAAAGCTTACGCTAGACTATTACAATTAAATATCTCGTCTCGTCATTACAAAATCACATCACTTATTTACAATGCGTCGTAACACAGCCTACCTTTATATAAAAGCTTAGCTCGCCTAACTCAATGATCCGCAATAGGATTTGCAATTTGAAGTAACAGTGTGCTTAGTGCGAGTTTTTAACGTCCTCGATAGCGTAAAAGTTAACTACGTTGAAACCTACGTTTGCCGCTAGGGGCGCTGTTCCAACTGCATACAAAATTGAGTTAACTTTTACGCTATCGAGAACGTTAAGAAACTCACACTAAGCACACAGTTTCGCGTTTCGAACTCAGGTAAATTTATAGGACATTAGGATTGATTAGTACTCATCACGAGACACGGAGGGAATAGGGATTCAGCTGCCGTCGTCCAAACTTTAATGCACGTCCGCTGTGGCAACAAATTATAATGTCAAATAAAGTCTGTATCTAATTTATTTTCGATACTTTTTTTACATACCTGTTAGGAGTACCGTCTGGAAGATCCGTCGCACTACGATTAGTCGTAAATAATGTTATTTTTCAGGTGGAAATTTATTATATGTTGGAAGATCTCTCACGCAATAAATCATGGCCGATTGTTCAGTCAAAGTATTTACAACAGAAAATTAAAACAACTCGCTGCGTGTGAGTATTATTTGAGTATTCATTTACATAATCTTAAAGATATCACTGCTCTATATACATTCCAAAATTACTATTAAATTTAAGATATAATTTCGCCTTTTTATTTTCATTATATAATGTGTATTAATTATTTCGAAAGCTTCGAATTCTTTACATATTTCGCAGTTACGTCTGTTTTGTAAATTGCATGTCCGGGTCTTTAAAATCATCAAATTCATTTTTATTTTAATATTCGTAACGTCGCAAAGAATGCAATGAGACTATAAAAAGCTAGTTTATAAGCGTACTAAAATTAGAAGCGATAAGTGAGTAAGATAAGTAAATCTGCAATAAGCGTCTGAACGCATTTCGAAAGAACGGCGCGACACGATAACCCTCTAGCGCCGGTACCATTATATAATATATCTGATCCTGCGAACCAAACGGTAAACAGTCACTGTCGCCCAAAGCACGTCACTTCAGATCCTCTCGATCTACTATCGATAGTTTTAGGCATTCCAAGCACCGGTCATCGTTTTCGTCGAATGTGATCAAGGATTCGTCGTGAAAATTAACCCACAGACACAGCCCACTGAGTGTCCCGCCAGATATTCTTAATGGATTGCTAGTGCCCTTGCTAGTGTTTTTTATGTTTATTACTTAGATGGGTAAACAAGCTCACAGCTCACCTGGTTTTAAGTGGTTACTGGAGCCTATAGACGTCTACAACGTATATGCGCCACCCACCTTGAGATGTAAGTTCTAAGGTCTCCATATAGTTACAACGGCTGCCCCACCCTTCAAGCCGAAACGCATTACTGCTTCACGGCAGAAATAGGCGGGGTGGCGGTACCTACACATGCGGACTCACAAGAGTTCCTACCACCAGTAATGTAGTGTTACCAAAGCACCCAGGTTGGGCCTACACGTCCGGTGAAGCTTGGACAACCCCTTGAGGATACTAGCATTCTTCTTTTTGCAGTAGACCCCGAGCCCGTCTGCTTTTTTGCAGTAAAAACTAATGAGAACCTCCAACTCTGTCCCACAGGAAAACCAAGGAATCTTGCTACGAAGAATTCGGTTTGAATAAATTAGGTTTGTCGTCCGTGTGCAAAGAAAGTTATCGCCTCAACAAAATTTACTTCTACGATCCCGACCGAAATATGATCTATACAAAAAAGATGACTATACCGAACTGCTGCACGTGTACTATCCTTAAAGAAAACCCTGACCGAGAATATCAATGCTTAAAAACCTAATCGATAATAAAAAATATAAAAACATCTGAATATATATGGTTGTTTTAATCGTTTATTTAACAGAATTGCGTATTTAAGTTACAATAAAGTGAAGAGGAGGTCTTTTAAAGGTAATGTGAGATGGGTGTGTCCTAAATAAACTTAGCCCACTGACTTTCTCGCTTCGGATCTTCTCAGTGGGTCGCGTTTCCGATCCGGTGGTAGATTCTGTGAAGCACCGCTCTTGCTAGGGACAGTGCTAGCAACACTCCCGGTTTGAGCCTCGTGAGCTAGCCTACACGTCAAGTAAATGCTGAAATAGCCTCTCAAGGCTATCAGCATAGATAGGGAAAAAAAATTTGGATCGACTCTGGGAAATAGGATATTTTGCGTCGACCCTACATATTGGAGTAAAGGCAATATTAAAAAAAAGAAGTATTTAAGTTTTGCTCGATGTATTTAATATTGGTGAATGAATCTGATAATAAAGAAATTTCCCATGAAAAAAAGAATGGTAATAAAGACGGTAACAATAATATGTTCAGTAAACAAAGACATCAAATCAATCAGACAGTGAATGGTTTTTGCTTTTATGGGAAAACATAAAAATGTTTACATTTAAAATATCAGTTGAAGTAAGAAAACTTGATAATGGGTCCGTAATATTTATTTATACAGTTGCCGTTTTTTTAATACTGGCCATTTGTAATGTAAAACTTAATTTATTTATGGCTGGCAGTAAATTCTAAATTAAAATAAATCATATTTTAAAAGTATGAAATTCTTTTTTCATAATCAGTAATTTGTTAATTAATTAGTGTTTCGTTTTCACTACATTTGTATCTATTCCATCAACATGGACACTATAAAAATGGGAGTAATTATGGAATACAAGTTCTTTCGCGGTAGCAATGACCTAGCGAGCGCAGCGCTTCGCAGAATACACCGCCGGATCGGATTCGCGACCCAATGATCTTCTCATTCGGCGAAAAACTAAATGGGAACTCTCACCCTAACACTCCGTTCTAGGCCCTTTTCATACATTCCGTTCTTACCCATCCCACATAATATGTTTATTGTATGGTAAATAACAAATTATCCTCGAATAAAATATTAAAGTTAAAAGTATCGCAAAGTTTGTTGTATCGATAACTTTTATATAAGACACCTAATTAGCTAATGCTGTAAATTTTTATAGTAAAGTATTTTTTTCTATTCATATTATATCAACTTGTACACCTAATTCGTTCTATTCTGTATCACCCTTAGTACAAAATACCTTAGGCATTAAGTGCGCCAATTTATGTAACACTAGCCCCAGCAAGAGCAGTGCTTCGCAGAATCTACCACCGCATCTGAAACGCGCCCCACTCAGAAGATTCGGCAAGAAACTCAGTGGACTGTGTCTATGGGTTTATTTACTCGCCGAACCTTTCGTTGCAAGTGACGGGTTCGACGAGAACGGTGACCGGTGCTTGACCTACCTAAAAGTACCTAAAAGTACAAGAAATGACGTGTTTTGGGTGACGTCGACTGTTCACTATTCGATCCGCAGGATCGGGTATGTAGTTACCGGCGGCCACGATAAGAAGGTTTTCGTGTCGTGCCGAGTTCTCAAAATGGCGCACTGATGCCGACTGTAGACACTTTTTGACGGAGTTTAACCCTAGATCGTCGTGGAGATCCACTTTTCACAAAAACCACGCTGTTCCGACGGCTATCCTGCAAAAACGGGATTGAATGATTTCAAAGGGGTTTCAAGTTGGTGCGGACGCCTGAGCGAACACTACACTTGCATAGGTCGTGACCGGACATATGCAAGTTTTGTGGAGTGTCACCAAGGGGCAATGTACTTCGCTTGCAAATCATCGGATCAAACATCTTGATCGCCATTATGTACCTACCTATCGAAACTCACCGAAACTGAAATTACCCTACAAAAGCGACACTAAAAAGAGACAAACATAAAATATTCTAAAGCATTTAGCCTGAGAGAGAATGAGAAAAAATACATATGAATGTTTCACTTCTAACATGTTTACACATGAACACAGATCTCTTTTGTATCAGATGTATGGGCGAGCTCACGGTTCACCTAATGGTAAGTGCTTATAGAACGTGATTGTGACGACGGCTACGGGCCTACAGATGTATTTTTTTGTTTGGAAACAAATTTTCCTAGTCAATTGAACATTTCATTTTGGGGAAATTATCAATACCTTCTTGCATTATAGGGTACATAATATTAAATGTCCAGTAAACCCGTGGAATATATATAGGTATTTCCCGAGCGCTATGACACGTTCTTCTTCAAACGAGACTTGTGGAGAGTACTTAATGGTAGGCAGCAGCTTGGCTCTGCCCCTGGCATTGCTGAAGTCCATGGCCGACGGTAACAACTCACCATCAGGGAAGCCGTGTGCTCGTCTGCCTACAAGGGCATTAAAAAAAAAACTACTGATTAATTAACTAGCCGACATGACGTAAGCACGAGATAACAATAGTAAAAATTTATGTATTTTTCCATGAAACCCATATTTTTAAATTCAAAAGTACTCGTATTTCTACTGGTGGTAGAACCTCTTGTGAGTCCGCGCGGGTAGGTACCACCACCCTGCCTATTTCTGTCGTGAAGCAATAATGCGATTCGGTTTGAAGGGTGGGGCAGCCGTTGTAACTATACTGAGATCTTAGAACTTATATCTCAAGGTGGGTGGCGCATTTACGTTTAGATGTCTATGGGCTCAAGTAACCACTTAACACCAGGTGGGTTATGAGCTCGTCCACCCAGCTAAACAATAAAAAAAATCCTCGTAATTCCCAAGTTTTTAAATCTATTATTAAGTAAATATTTTTAAGTAATAAGACCTTCTCCCGTCAACCCGACAACTACCATCAGCAGAATACTTAACCACCTCTAAATAAGAAATATGTGGAATTACGAATAAAGAGAGAGCTTGACATAAATATATCTGACAATATTGATATGCAATCTTATATACAGGGGATTTCGGGGGCGATATATCGATCTAGCTACGATTTATTTTCAACTCAAACATACACTTTTTTATTATTGAAATTTTAATAGAGTGATTGAAGAGGAAGGTTTATATGTATAATAACATCAATTAAATAGTGAAGAAATCAATAATAAATTATAGTTTCCGAAGCGAAGCGAGCACGGGTCGCTAGTTTGCAATAAAACTGTGATTATTTTTGTATAATATCAATGATTTATAAATGAAAACACCCAACAATTTTTTCATCATCATCATTCACCAGAAATTGTATTTCCTTTCATTATTTATCTTATACCTTTAAATGAGCAATTCTTGTATGTGTGTATCTGAATCTCGGAAACGGCTCCAACGATTTTCATAAAATTTAGTATACAGGGGATTTCCGGGGCGATAAATCGATCTAGCTACGATTTTTTTTCAGAAAATGTTGTTTTATTCGTGTTTTCAATACAACTTTATCGATAATCAACTCTTTCCGACATCTATTGGTGAATAATAATACTATTCTGACTGTTTTAAAGACACAACAAGATGGCGTTATAAAAATTAAAAAATAAAAACGAGCAAAGCTCGGTTATCATCTATTTAATTTATACACCACAGGATTTCAAAAGCTTTTATTAAAAGATATAATCATATCTCATGTTAAAATATCAAAACATTAGCTCTTCTGTTTTTTTTATTTTTATGATTGATAGTTTACTGGTGGCCCGAAGGCCTTTCCAGTTTCACCAGGACAGGTGGGCGAGCAAAGGCTCAGCCAAGAGGGGCGGGATTTGCTAACAACTGCCCGAGCGCCTCCGAAGGAGACCTAACAACTCAAGAGCAATTACTTCGCGAATGAATCCACTACTGGATCGGAATCGCGACCCGCTGAGAAGATCCGGCGAAAAAACTCAGCGAGCTGATTCATGGGTTACGTTGCACGGCGAACTCTTTGTCGAGTTCGACGAGTACGGTTAAAGCTCTTCTGTTATTTTGGACCCAATTAAATCGCAATTTACGTTCACTCGAATCCTTCTCACTGTGAGCATCGATTATCACGTTATGTCTACGGTCTCTGACAGCCACATGAAGCTTTACATACACCTAAGATTTGTCTAGCCATCTTCTTCTGTTTCTCCACCTTATCCCACTAGGTATTTTTTTATTGCTTAGATGGGTGGACGAACTCACAGCCCACCCGGTGTTAAGTGGTTACTGGAGCCCATAGACATCTACAACGTAAATCCGCCACCCACCTTGAGATATAAGTTCTAAGGTCGCAAGTATAGTTACAACGGCTGCTCTACCCTTCAATCCGAAACGCATTACTGCTTCACGGCAGAAATAGGCAGGGCGGTGGTACCTACCCGAGCGCACTCACAAGAGGTCCTACCACCAGTAATTACGCAAATTATAATTTTACGGGTTTGGTTTTTATTACACGATGTGGGGTCGGCATAGCTAATTTTTCTCTTCCATTCTATTCTAACAGCCATCATCCCAATACTTACTCCTCTCTCTCACTCATATCGTCATTCACACACTCCATCCATGTCTTCTTCGGTCGACCTCTTCCCCCTCTACCTTGCACTACCATTTCCATACCTCTCATAGTCCCATGCATCTTCTCTACGCATCACATGTCCATACCACGCTAACCGTGCGCTCTTTATAACTCGTTAAATTACGAGAATTTGTCTGGCCATATACCGAAAGAAAATAATAAATATAATAATAATCATGCAAATAATTCTAAATCTTCAAATCGTGAAGTCACAGAACTACGTCACAATAATACGTCATTCTTACGATTTCCGATTGTTATCCGGCGGCTACGTCACATGTCGTTACCAAATTAGTTAGCAACAAATTCGCGGATTCACTCGCGATTTTACGTTCTAACTCAACGATATGACTTAGTCGCAACGCGTAGTGCTTACAGTCGTGTGCCAATATGTAGCAGTTGTATAATATTAAATGTTCTACCTCAGATGAACTTGATAAATTTTAATAGGAATTTTTTTATTATAATAATGTCACC